AAATAAGTGTTTCAGAGTGATTCACATCACTGAATCGGTGGCAGTTGTGTCACCTTTTCAAGATAAATTTCACAGCTATAGAAGTTAGCAACAGCTTTTTAAAAATAAGCTCATCTTGGCTAAGTTGTCAGTATAGCAACAGTGAGAACAAACTCTAATCCCCTCAAAACAGGAACTCTCCTAGAATCTCCAGAACTGATGAAAATGACTGAATAGTTTGAAACAGCAGCAAATTCTGTGATAGAGAACATATAACATAGATTCAAATTATGAAGCCACCAGTGGGTGTTCAGCTACATTTTTACAGCCCATCATTTGCCTGTACAAAACTTGTAGTCAAAATGTCATTACTTACATTGAGAGGATAATTTCAAAACAGTGAATGTACTGAAAAAGAATGTTCAAATGTTGTACAAACTGACACAGAGGTGCATTTAGAAATGTTAAAAATGGGCTGTAGTTTTAATTTGAGGGATGAAAACAGGAATATCTTTTTGTTGTTTCAGGTTCTATAGCTGCAGGTTCTGTTTACACACCCTTAGCTAGCTGTAGAAGTAATTCCTAGTGAAAGGCTTTGTGGAGTATCAGTCCCAGACATGGAACTGAGTGCCAGCCTGCCTGTCAGTATTACATAGAATTTGTGTTTGGAACTTTGCTATCAATAAATTGCTCCCACATTAGATACAGATTACGTCAAGCAGGTTACAATCACAAGAAAAGCTAGAACAAACTTTGAATAAGCACAAGCAGATCACATTACAATAATGAAAAAGTTTTTTGGTTTTTTTAAAACTTCTTGAGGCATGCACATGTTTGATTTTTTTGTTTGCTCATTTTCTCCCAAAGTGCAGGAAATACTGCAGTACTTCCTTGAAAGAAGTACATTTTTCACTGATCTTAACCACAACAAGCAAGTCATTTCTGTCTGGATTCTTTTGATTATTCTGTTGTTATAATCTGAGACATAGGAATATTCTATCTCTTCATTTAAGTATATAGATGTCAACAAAAGGCATTATATCTGAGAGAGGTACAGTGAAGTTTGCCAGAGAATCATAACACAATTGAATTCTAGTTTGGGTTTGGTTTGGTTTTGTTTTGTTTTCCTCCAAACTTAGGCAGGTAAGTCTTCATTAATATCCCTGCGTTTGACTACAGTCATAGTACAAGTGAAAACTCTTATCCAAACTAATCCACAGTCTTTTCAGGTTGGTTTTTTTCACAGTTTTTTTACCTTTTTTTTAAAGATGTCCTTTAAATCTTAAAGGATGCTAAATACCAAAGGAACATAAGTGAAGGATTTGTTTTGGTTTGTTTTGGTTTTGAAGTAGAATAGTTGGGTGTGTCCCATGTTAAATCCATAACGACCTTGGGCTAAAGCTCTCCCTGTTCCTGGGCAGTCCCTTCTAGGTACGTATCTCCTGATACAGAATTTGTTGAACACCTAACAGGAACTTTTAGGTAAGCTCACTGCTTTCCCTTTCTGCCTGGACTCTGGTTAGTTTGGTAGCTCCTAGTCAGAGCACTCAAAACAGTAAGCGATGGCACACAAACCATTTCTGTTGTGCTAAGTTCTCTCCCCCATTTTTTCCCTGCTTTCCATTTTCAAATAACTGAGTCATACTCTTTATTATAGCCCCTTTACTGCTCTTTAAAATACAGAGCCAGAAGGAAAATATTATTTTTTTAGTACAGAAAATTGTGAAGGGGTCGCACAACATTGAAGGTACCTTTAAAAACAGGAAGTCCTACCAAATGGACTTCCTGTTGGTCTTCCCACTTAAATATTTAACAATATAAATCAAAATACAATGCAACACAGAGAAATCCTCTTGTTTTTATCCTTTCGTTGTACTTTGCCCCAATGTTTCTTTGGGCTATTAATGAAAAAAAATATACATTGTAACATATAAGCAACCTCTTATTTAGGTCTCTAAAGAGATTTCCTGCTAATGGCTGGCATTTTGTTCTGCAAGTGATCAAAAGGATTTTGCAACACATTAGGAAGAAACCTTTACTACAAGATTTTGGAAGAAAAACACGATCCTCAGGTATAAAAATTTTTGCCATGACATTATAAGAAATTGCTGTGTAATCGTATTAGTGGACATTCCTAGGAAATTAGGAAAATTTCCCCCTTTTCTTCCCTCCGTAACCTTTCAGCTGCTGGAGGGGTAATTTTAAAGACATGAGATCTTACACTTCATGAAAACAGGAGTCAAGCAGAGAAGAGAGACCTTGTTACTCAGCCCTGCCTATACATACTTTGTTAGACTCCAGTGACTCCAGCCACAAGATCTGATCCAACTGTTTCCTTAGCTGTATTGCTCACAGGACTGCTTGCTTAATTCTGTAAGCAAGCATTGCCAGAGAGAGTTGTACTATTTTATTAAATTATATGTAATGTTGGCTACCCAGTACTTCCTGCGGCATTTGACCACCTTAAAATGTATCTGTAGCCTGATCTCATTTTGACCTGAACATCAAATTCACAAAGCTTGTGAACTGAAATAATTAATTTTAGAAGCTGAAATGTTCTCAGATGCAATGAGTTTGAAGCAATCTTAATCACTAATAAGATTTCATTCAAAGATAATGTGGTTTCATAAATCAACTTGTTTGCATTCAAACATGGTTTTGGTTTATTCATCCTCACTTTTTGCACAAATTGTTTCCTAAATAATGCAAACAGGATTGGTAAAAGTGAATAACTATTCCATGTCTGTCTAGAAAGTTTAGAGGGTTCTGTAAGTCTATAAAGTACAACTTCAGTCCATTTATTTCTTACATCTCCTTTTAATATTTCCTTCCTGAATTTCCACTTAAGATGACCACAAACCTTTTCCTTCAGAGAAAATAATACACCAAACTTAAACATTATGAACTCTGAATGTCTCATCAATAACATATGGAAGTTATCTAACAGCAGTTGTCTTCGACTAATTTTCATTGTGGCTATGCAAAGTACTTTAGGTAATACTGATTCTAATGGAGCTGTCGGTACTGCTACATATATCCTGAACTCTGTATTTAACAGTGGCGTGTCCCTGTACGATGAAAAATCACCTTTATCTTTCCTAGCCTTTAAAACAATATTATCAGCTTCCTTCAGAGTATCTGCTAAAGGTTTGAAGTCCAGAAAATAGCATAGAAGATGGGTTAATCTGGAGAGAAACTGATCTCGTAGTGCTTTAAATAACTTAATCAGGAGCTTCTCTGGATCAGTTCCCCTGGTCAATTTGGTGCCCTCAGATTCTCCTTTCAGATGCTGACCTTTAACTTGGACTCTGACTTCTCTGATGTGAGTCAGAAGGTAATCTATTTTTCTGTTCTGTTTTCTAGTAGATATTATCATATGTTTTTTTCTTTGACTTACTTTATACACTGTAACAGCATGTCTGTCCTTCTCTGTCTTGCTGTACTTTTGTCTACATTGATAGAAAATACACATTATTTTTTCTGACACTAGAGCATGTTGTAGAAACCCTACGAATAGAAGCTTATTCAACATTTTCTTTGCACATATATTTTTATACATCTCCAGATTTTTAATTTGAGAGATAAGAAATCTGCATTCTGCATTTTCTCCCTTTTCAATTCCTGAAGTTTTGCCAATTAACTTTCTCTTCAATACAACCTTATAAATCCCATCTAATGAGTTGGTAGGTAATATGCCATTATGGAAACATATCTGATTTTTGATTGTTTCAATCTCCAGTGCAAGAAATAAGTTGAAAAGAAAATTGTTCAGTTCACATTTTCTATGCCTTAGACTAACCAGACACTCTCTTTGTGTTGTCAAGACAGAAAGAGAGATGGACCATGTCATTTGGCCTCTCTTTGCCCAAATAAGAGGATACTGTAAGGAACCAGATAGTGATATATAATACACTGGTGTGATCAGCAAATGATTATGTGAATAAAACAAATAAATCCTTAGGAAGGGCAGCACATTTCCAGTCACAACACCTGGCTGGATAGTATTTTCTGTCAGGAATGGACCTAATGAACAAAATTCCTGACTTCTAGTATCTGAAGTATCAACTGGAAAATTTAAAGTAAGGCTTAAGTCTCCCTCAGTAGTGAGATTTTCAGAAGAAAGCAAGACAAAAATAAAACCATGAAGGGAGATGTCTTGCTTAATACTGGGGACGTATACCAAACAAAAAGTAAATACTCTGCCTAGTAAACTTCTTTTAACCATTACCAATATCTTTCTTTTTTTTAAAATTTGAATTAAAATCTTGTGCCAGGAAGCTGGCCAATACACTAGCAGTGGTACCTCATACTCATATTGTCCTACAATTAAAAAAAAAATCAGCGTTAGCTGGAGAAAAGTGCTTTTTTCTGTCTACATCTGATGGGTGTATCTGAAACAAGCCAAATTCTGGACATGTATCACAGGTCTAAATTTTGAAACTATTGAATCAAGACAGTCCTTAACTTCTCTGGGGCAATCCTGTGAAAAAGGACAATCCTATCAAAAGTTCATATTATTACCTCATGCTAAAAGCCCTGTGATTATTTCATATTCTCTGTGCAGTGAAAAAGAAATATTTCATATTTTCCATTTGGTAAAAAACAAAATTATCTCATGCTTCTACTTGTGCATTATTTAAAACAGTAACTTGACATGAAAAATCTCACAAAATTCAAACATATAGTGATTACAGTGGTTTCTGTATAATTTGATACACTTAAAAATACATAGAAACTCTATAAAGTGCAACTGCTTCTCTTTATGTCTTGGTTGCAGGCTTCTCCAACATGTAAGTAAGCGTCTTATTTCAGTCTACTTTCTTCTCTCATCTTGCTTACCACATCATCCTCTACAACTATTGTATTCTTAGGGTTGATCTGCATGTTGTTTTCTCACCATTCTTCCACTCTAATGCTTTACTCTGTTATTATTTCTGAAAAATAAACAAAACACATGCTTTTAATTAAAGAAAACTGCCTTCCCTGCCTTACTTATGGAGTCAAATCATTTAACTTTAAGTCTACTCACTGTTACAGCCATTGCTGCTTGTAGTTTCAACCAGGCTGGCACCACCACACTCTGAAGAACTCGTCCTTGGAAGGGAAGCTTTCCTGATCATAAGAAACAAGAAAGAGACAATGGAGAGGGGAAAAAAAAAACCAACCCCAAAATCCAACAGACCAAACACAGAGTAAAATAGTTATCAGAGAAGAGACAAATTAACTGAATGATGCTTCCAGTGAAAAAAGTGACAGGGATCTTTTGCAGTTACTTTCTAATTAATTCTCTACATTTTCGAGCAGCACGTGTTTGAGGGAGAAGAGCGATCAGAGGTAGGAACAGCACTCGGAACTACGTGGCTTCTCTCCTGAAGTTAATGTTCCTGTTTGATTTCTCAGGTCTTTATTTTAAGCAATTGGTAGATACCACAAAATTATTTAATTTATCATTAACTCTCTTAGCATTTGGAAGTGTAATATCAATAATGTGATATTTTCCACACTTTCTTCAGGAGAAACAGGTCTTCTAAATAGAGCTGATCTCTTGCTGTCTATTTCGCTTTCTTTTAATAGCAATTAGACATCTGCTCCCTTGAGAAGAGTCGTGAGCTTTTCTCCTTTCTGTCCAGTTTCTGTCCTGTGGTGATATGACTCCTCCACAAAGTCTGTTGTGTTGGACAGCTTAAATGGCTTTATTCCTAGGCCCTGTTGTTTTGGCTGGCTGAGTTCCTGTTCATCAATATGCACTTATCTTACAGGTAATTTGGCATTTCCACATGGACTTAAAGTACAGAAATAAATTGCAGATTTCATTTTCCCTAGGGTTTTCTTTATTCCTCTAAGCTGTGCGCACAGTATTCAGGCCTCTATATTGTTTTAAATACGGGCTGGCTTATGTGGAATCTATACTAATCAGCTACCTTTCTCACTCTTTTTCCAGTACAATATGTTTATGGAGAAAGGCAGACAGATGGACCTGTACTGATAGGTGAACTGCTTGTAGCAAAATATGCCATTTGTTCCCTCAGTAACAATGGAATAGCAAAGATTTTTGCATACTTTTGTGTTTTCCCCAGGTCAAAATGATATACTTTATCAGTACCATTTCTTGCTGGGGGCGTGTGTGTGTTCGTTTCACGATAGAAAGTGGCTAGATCTGGATTTGCCTCCATACGCTCCACTCTGCTAACAAGTTATGCAGCTCCTGTGCCTAAAGCCACACCAAAGTCCACTCCAATCCAAGACTTGTTGTCATTGTTAAATACCAAAGCACTCTTATAAAACCAGTTCTATATACGTGTTATAGATTATATATATATATATATACACACATAAAACATATATATATATATATATATATGTTTTACATTCACAATGTAAATATCTTACTGTCTTTTCTAAAATACAGTTGTTGGCACGATGCCGTATCTTCTAGTGAATCCCAACAGTTAGGATTAGCAATAGTTTTATGTGTTGAGCTTTTACAGGAATGTAGTGAACAGAACTGAGCATGGTCTTTAAAGATCGGGATTCCCCCTTTGACAGAGGAGCAATGTTTATTGTCTATGAAACAACACATTCCTGGAGAAAACTTGATAAAATAACATAGGAAGCTAATGTACTAAACTGGTTTTCGCATTAGTTTTGGGTGCAGACATTACTGTTCTTATGAATTCCTACAACATGATATAAAATTGTTTTACAAGACTTATCTTTGAGGAGACATAAAAGCATACTCTTTCCTTTGCAATGACATTCCTCATAATTTTTTTCAGAAAGTGTATTAAAGCTACCCACTTTGCTACCTAAATAATTGTATTATATCAATGTGAGACTAAGGTAGCTCTGCAGTGTCCTTTCCTTCAGCAAGTTCCAGCAATAGTGGGAGGCTTAACCCCAGTCTACCATCTATCTTTTCCAGTTCTAAGTTGCCTTTTTTTTCCATCAGCGGTCCTTGACCATTTCTCCCCCTTTCCTTCCTCCATTTTCTGCTGTTCCTTTCGCTAAGACCTTCAGCTTCTTTCCTCTATCTTTATTTTGTTTTACTTTCCATCATTCTCACCCTCTAGCCATTTAAAATACTGTCTGTTTCTTCATTGTCCTTGATTCTCTCTCCTCCTTCTCCTTGTGGGTTTGCTTTCCCAAACCACACCATCTTGATGAATCCTAGTATGTAAGCAAATACAGCATGAAATCAGCTTAACAGCTGATTGTTGGTAGATTGGAAAAAATAAATCCTCAGCTGATAAAAATGTGATGATTCAGCTAAATATAAACAGAGCATTATTTCCCCCTGTTCACCCAGAGCTTTTCCTATGCAGCCCTTTTCTTTTATAGGTTACTTTCATCATTACTTATGATTTGGTTTTATAAGCAGAGCAATTAAATCCTTTCTCGCTACCCTTGTATGCTGAATGGATTTGTGTGTAGGG